ATTGTTGAGCTGCAGGAAGTTATTTGACATCCAGCATGTTATATCCTCAAGACAGTCGATGAGAGGCTGCAGAGAATCTCGAGATTTTAATGGAAGATACAGCTGAGAATCATCTGCATAAAAATTAAAAGAGATTTTATATTTCCTTATGATGTTACAAAGTGGAAGCATATACAGATTAAAGAGTAATGGGCCCAAAATGGACCCCTGATGGACCCCATAGAGAAGAGAGGCAGATGATGAGATAAACTGGCCAACAGACACTGAAAATGACCTGGATTTCAGATATGACTCAAACCAGCTGAGTGCTGTACCCTTTATGCCCACCCAATGTTCAAGGCGTGACAGAAGGATATTAAGATCAACTGTATCAAAGGCAGCTCTAAGATCCAATAAAACCAAAACTGCATTATCACCAGAATCAACTGACAGTATAATCATTCATCACTTTTAACAAAGTTTCAGTACTGTGGTGGGTAGTGAAACCTGATTGAAAAGGTTCAAGTATATGGGTTGATTTTAAAAAAGGAAGTAATTGTGACAGGACAACTCTTTCCATAATTTTTGAAAGAAATGGGAGTTTTGAAATAGGACGATAGTTATTCAAGCAATTAATATCGGCATTTGTTTTTTAAAGCAATGCTGGAAAACTGCATGCTTCAAAAATGCAGGGACAGTGCCAGAAACTAAGCAAGAATGAATAATTACTTGAATACTAGGACCAATTGTATCAAAAGCAACTTTAAAAAAGTCAGAGGGAACAGCATCATAAGTTGAATTTGAAGATTTCGTCTGCATCACCCATACCCTTAACTCAGAGAGAGACACCGGCTGAAAGCTGCACAAGGTAGCTGAAGAAACTGAACAGACCAAAGAGCTAGAACAAACAGGAACAAATGAAGATTGAATGCCAGCAATCTTTTCAATAAAAAATCTCAAAAATCTCTCACAAATATCTGGTGATTGTTCAACTTCATATGAGATGCGAGGATTACTTATTGAATTTATAGTGCTAAATAAGATTTTAGGGGTATGAGAATGTTTATTGATAATATCAGAAAAGTATTTAGCTCTAGCTATTTTTGCTGCTTTCTGAAAGTTCTCCAGGGATTCTTTAAAAATGTCAGCAGAGACAGTAAGATGATCTTTTTTCCATCGCCGCTCTGCTTTTTTGACAAATCTGTCTAAGCGAACGAGTGGAGTCATCCAGCCATAGTTGTGATTTAAATTTTGAACATTTATATTTCAGGGGAACTATAAAATCCAGGATATCTGAACAGGAAGAGTTAAAGAGAGAAATTAGATCATCTGGACTTGAGGAATGTTCAGCAGCAACTGAAATTGCTGTGGACACTTCATTACTATGATACATATCTGAAAACTGATTAGCAGTGAGAGAGTTGATGCAACGAGAATAAAAACCTGTAGTTTTTGTAGTACCCAAAAAGCTAGATAGGGTGACATTAAATACAATGGACTTGTGATCTGAAAAGCAAGCAACGTGAGTATCATACAAAAGTAAAAGTTTTCATTTACTAATGCCATTGCAAAAACCCTCTATGCGCTATCAGGTTAATTTATTCTGTGAGCAAAAGTGTCTGATAACAAGATTAGCGAGATAATTATGTGATCTTAACATGTCTGCCCCGGTCTGCCCCCATGAGGCGACCCGCTCCATAAAACTTTTATTAGGATATGACTTCATCTCATAGGAGTGTACAACATATTTCTCAAAAGTGCTATTAATTCATGTAAAATCTAGGTCTATGTATAAATAAAAGTGCAACTTTAATCAGGAAAAAAATCATGAGCGCGGTTTTAAATCTAATTAAATATAGCTAGGCTGATGTTGCTTCCCTAACATTTTTGAAGGCCTGTAGCAATATCTGCATGAAATACAAGCTATCCCAAAAAGATAACATGCATATTAGAGGTTTTAGATACATTTGCGTTATAATCCTACAATCATTTTGATTATCCGCCATGCTGTTTACGCCGCAGGTACGTGGTAGCATATGAAATTAATTGGGTTAACGTCCTCGGCGACATCTCTTCTGCGTGGACTCGGTTTTGCACAGGGTTGGAGTTGGACTGCTGATGTCTTGTTTTTAGACAGCTTTATTTTTTTTAATGTTGAAGACTGAGCCTGAAAAGCTTATATTACCGACCAAAACAAAAATCGAGATGAGTGAACCAATAGGACTACTTGGATTTCATCATGCTGTAGCCGTATCAACCCGAGAGTCGCGCCAGGACAATAGCGGTACGTGAAACACAAGATTTATGTGTCAACGTGCTGAGCTAAAGCAGAGCTGTCAGAGAGGCAGTGAAGCCTGATCCAGCTGCTGCATACAGGCGCAGTGGATGGGCTCAGATGCCCGCTCTTCGACGGGGCTTGACTTCAGCTAGACAGTAGTTGTTTCCTTTTAGTATTTTGCCTGTTTTTTTGTTAGTTACGTTCGCACTGAGAGATTCGTAAGTGGTCGTACCATAATAACGCTGGTTAACGGGGTTTCGCAGTGATTTAAATGAGGCGACACACCTTTTTTTATAGCGGGGTGGTGTAAGATCTCTGCATTCTGATTTTGTGCATCTGTTTACTTTTTACTACATTTCATGATGAACACGGATATCATTCGTTTGAGCTGCTGGGATGCTTTACCGGGCGAGCTTAAGATTTAGTTTGCAAAGCTGTGTGTGTGAATGAGTTAGTAGCCCACTCATCCAGCCAACTGTAACGTTAACCTTCAAGCTAACGTCAATGACAGCTAGCAGTTAGCTGGTGGATAGCGGGGTTTCTGAGTTTTTCATCGCTCGTCAGCTGCGCGTTTGCTGAGGGATGCGTGAACGCGATGCATTAAATAACGAAAGGGACAAATTGCATGTCGAGATCCGGCGGGGCGCTGCTGATTCCGAACAGCTCGTGTCAAGACATCGCCATAGAGAGGGATTTCATTCATCCGAGCCTGCTCGCTAAACATGGCCTCTGCAGTCAGCAACCTTGCTGCGTCCATCGCCAGCAAAACCAAAACCAAGAAGAAACATTTCGTGTCTCAGAAGGTGAAGCTGTTTCGGGCCAGCGACCCGCTGCTCAGCGTCTTGATGTGGGGAGTGAACCACTCGGTAAGGGTCCAGTTTTCTTACAGGTTTATAACAGCTGCGATGCTCAGCGTGAGCGGATTGAAGGCACCTGAGACAGCTTTCTTGATCCCTCATTAAACTAGCATTTCCTTCTCTCTCCGACTCGAAACATCAGAGGTATTTGTCCACGCGCGACACGATCAATAATCGATGCCAAAACATGCCACTTCAGTTTTAAACAGGCTACATTTCCACTTGTTATCAGATGATTCACTCATTTATATGTATTGACATATATGTTAAATCTAAGAACAAAAAGCAGATATTTAATGTACTAGTAGTAAAGATAGGAGGAAAACGTAAGCACAATTATTCTTAAAATTAGAATAGAATTCTTATATTCTTTATAAGTATATCTCTTTAAAAACTTTTATTTCTTAATATTTATTCAAATCAAATGCAGCTTTCATTCTGAATGTCCTTTTACATATTTCACCTGTTATGAGATCACACAGACACTGAGTGCCATAATATGATCAACTCTGTCACTTGAATTGTAAATAAATTAAGACTTTTAGGTCGTTTTCCTCATTTTAAGTAGGTTAGGTCCTGTTAGTTGTAAAACCAGCGAAACAAAATGGCTACTGTAATATGTGTGATATGCAGATTGTTATTATTCCATTAATATGTTACGTTTTCACTACATCTGATGGTGGTGAAAATTCAACAGATGGTGCTGAAAATCAGTTTGAAAGCATCCTGTGGTGTCACTTGATTAATTCTTTGACGTGAATGCGTGATTTGTAAATATTTATATTTCATTTGACACATTATTTATGTATCTGGTGGTGTTGATCCATGTTGAGTAATAGGAAAGGGAACATATGGAAGAAGCAGGGGATTACAATCAAATGTAGGTGAATAATTATGATTAATCTGACAGAATCATCCAAAAGAATTTCTTGAAAAATAAATGTTTGTTTTTCAGTTATTGTGGCATGTTTTGTCCCGGTCCTCAAGAATCAGTGAAATGATTGTGTCAGCAAGCAAAGCAAGTGTTAGCTGAGATGAGAGGTCGTGATTGTTGAAGATGCTGAATGACTAACTATACAGGCTGCTGTGCAGACATAATTTAGATCCCTGATCCCTCATCCATCGCCAGCACGTAATGCTTCAAGAATGCTCTTTTATTTCTCATTTACCTAGTGAACTCATAATAAACAGATTTTTATATTTATGTCCTTTTCTATTCTCTTATTTCTCATCATTAATTGTAAGAGCGTTTAAGTATTTTTTCCTATGATTAACTCCAACTAAATCTGTGAAATTTACGGTAAAATACTGGCAGCTGTGGTTGCCAGAATTTTATCGTAAAAAATATGGTAGCAACATTTTAGGGTTTACAGACTTCACAGTAATAAAATTAATCATTAAAGAGTTCTTCAGAAAAAATATTTCATTAACTGACATAATGTTACTATACCAAACAATTAAAGTAGCCTACTAATATCTGTTTTGAACAGATTTCACTGTAAAATTACATTAAATGTAATTACAGTTATTCATATAGATCGAAAATTTACTGTTAACCAAATAAGCATTTTTACAGTCTTTTACTGTTAAAATCATGATCATTTTTTACAGTGTATTTTTGAGGGACTTCATGCTTCACTGTAGTATATGAGTCTCTGACTGAATGTTTAAGTCTAACAGAGGGAAATTTGGTGAAAGAGTTGCGTCGTCTGTCAACAGTGTGTTTGAGTGTTTGATTAGGAAGGAATACTTTACAAATGCAGCTCCTCTGAGTATAGTAAAACACAAACTAGCGTCCCAGTTTTGAAATGGAGAGGTTGTTTGAATGGCCTTTTTATAATACGTATGTATAAATATGTAAATATTTTCAAAACATATACTGTGTGTGTCTATAAATACTATAGTATTTATTTATGAAACAATTGTATAAATTATATATTAAAATATTAATATATATTAAAATATATATTTTTATTATTTTGTTATTAAATTAATAATATAATTTAAATATATTTTTACATATATATTAATATTTAACATACATGTATGTATTATCAATAAATATAAAAAAGTATAATTATATATTATAAAAATATAATATTCAATTTATTATTTGTTAATTTTGTATATTTATATAGTTTTTTCTAATATATATGCATGTACAGTATTATTAAAACATGCGCACACACACACACATTAAATATTTTATATATAAAATTGTATTGTTTATTTACAATATATGTATTTAAATATTATAAATAAATAAAATATATAAATTGATAAAACAAATTATGTGATATAATATGATAAACTTTCATTATTATTAAAATTTATCATTAAATTCATACCTAAAAATTAAATACAGTTTTACTCTGAATCGCATGGGACATACATTGTAAATGTGCGTGTGTGTGTGTGTTTGCGTCAGACAAGCTCAGGCTGGATTGACCGTGATTTGTCCTTTCCCATTTTCTGCTGCTGCTGTTTCAGTTCTGCTCTCAGTGAACCCGCTGCCCTCTCCCCCAGTCTTGCAGTTGCTTTCTTTTTTATATCTTTGTAGACTACTGTTTGGCCTAGTTTTAAATCACAAAGCATAACCTTCTTTACTGAAATGCTTCTTAATCGACAAGAGGACAACCCCTGATGCAGCAGGGACAGATGGAGGCACAGGAAGATGCACAAAAATAACTCGTCATTGTTTGTGTGTGTGTGTGTGGGAGCACATGGCTCTATCTTTGTTGTTGTCTGCCATGTGCTTCTTTCGTCCTGCCTCCTTGTTTCCCGTTGCCATGCCCCCTTGTTTAGTCCTCGTTTGTCTGAGTGTTGTCACCGGTTCCTCCTGTTCTTTACCCCTTTATATTGTGCTCCCTTTCTCTCTTGTGTTGTCAGTTTATTTATTGTTTCAAATTGTGTATTTGCTAGCACATCTATTCGTTGTGTTCCTGAATTCTCCCAGTCAGATTGTTTGTTGAGTGTGTATTTAGTATCTTGTCAGTCCTCAGTCTAGTCCTGTCCTGTTCTGATTTGCAGGCTGGGCTACTGGTCATCTCCCCGGGTCTACCACGCTGCTAGGCCTGTGCTGTGCCTGATACATCACGAGTGTGGAGTGTCTGTGAAGTGGTGATGAGTGTCAGGCCACCGCCGCTTACCTCCGGCCTCCTGCTTCACTGCCTTCACTGTGGTCTGCCATCCTGGACTGGACTCTATGGCCGATCACCCAGGCCTGCCTGTCTTCCAAGTCTTTCCCTGCCTAGTGTTTGGACTGTGTTCAATCCTCTCCTCACCATCTCTCGTCTTCTCTGCAAGTCTGTCTAAGTAAATCTGTTAACACTCACTCTGCATTTGAGTCCTCCCTTCAGATTCGTGACGTCTCAGTTAGCCTAACGCAGTACACGTAGTAAGGTGTATGTATATATATATATATATACAGTGGGTACGGAAAGTATTCAGACCCCCTTAAATTTTTCACTCTTTGTTATATTGCAGCCATTTGCTAAAATCATTTAAGT